TCTAGTCGAACCTTCTCATTACTTTGCTTTTAAATATTCCTGTAATTAAGATTTTAGATTATAGGTATGTGAGCTACTGTGTCTACCCCTCCCTTTCCCCCAAGAATTACATATGGTGATTAAAAAAGCTCCCTAGTAAGGCATAGCACAAATGTACTTTATTTGGACTTTTTCACACTGACAATGAAAATCTACAGCACAGGCTTAATGCTACCCTGGACAGAAGACTGGCAACTCAAGATTTGTCGGAGTCATAAATCTGAGTATGATGTGACTTCCCATATCTTAAATTACCAATCTTCCCATGAAGTTTTCACTCCCATTTTGGCACTAAAACAAAACCTCACAGTGACCCCCACCGCAAAAGAAACATCCAGATTTCGTGCAAAGAAACAACCACCAAAAAGCTACATTATTCCTAAATTTTAAAAAGAGAAAATCTTATCCATATTCCTCTTTAACCTCTTAACCTGTTTATATTTTATTCTTTAGAATTCCATTTATAAATTCTTTAGAAGATAGTATAGAAAATGCTCCTGTGATTTATTAGCATATTACCTCTTAATACTCTACAGAGTATTCAGCACATAGATTATTATTTTTTACAATAAAAGTATTTAGGTTATCAGTTCATTTCCAGACATTTAACTAACATCCTCCTTCATAATTAGAAGTGAAGCCCTAAAGTAGAGTTCAGGAATTTTACAGAAAGACTCAAAAACAATTTTTCAAAATAGGGATAAAAAAGAAAATGGTAGGGAAAAAAACCTGAAAGAAAGCAATACAAATTCTGTATTTTTACAGTGAGAATATTACATTATATTTTTAATTAGCAGTAACTTGTAGTCATTATAAAATGGAAATCCATAAACAGATTAGACACAAAACTCTATCAATTTAGGTCAAAAGTGATTAGGTTCAAATTAAGACTCAAAATAGCAAGAAACACATTCTAGAATCAGAGTAATGACATTCAACATCTAAAAACAGAACTTGGTAATGTCTGGAATGCACTCTAAAGCGCTACTATAATGAAGGAGTAAAAATGGCTCCAAAATGAATTACATAATCACAAAAGGGTTGGAAACAAACAGAGCTGAAAACAAAATACTCTAATAAACGCAAACATAGCTTTCATACAGATCTATTTATCTGAGCAGTACTGAAATGGGACAAACAGGCACAAAGCAATGATATTTAATTAGAACTATGAGATATACAACCTGAGTGTCAGGAGAGACAGGTATGTGGGGAATTATTTCACTGTTTCATTTCATTTCATTTGAATGTGAGCAGGGAGCTAGGATTCTAGAATCCAAGTTAGGGTGTTATTCAAAATTTGTGACTAATCTCTCCCTCTAACACATGCAGGTAAAGCTGCAATACAGCTTGTTGTTTCTTATTTTAGATGACATAAGTGGCTAAAGTAAAGAAATGATAGCAAAATGAAACACAGTGAGGACTAAACCAAAACTGGAAATGGTGAGAGCACTGAAGGTCACAGACCAAGGTCACAGATAAAGGCTCTGCAAGTTCAGAAATGATCCAACACTATACCAGGTGTTAGGGGTGTTATAGAGAAAAATGAGACAAAGTTCTGGCCTCCAGTTACTTAAAAACTAGCAGGGCAGTTTGGTCCGGAGCAACTTCCACGCTTTACAATTGGTAAATAAAAAGACAGCTGGTCTGTGAACATTGATTCCAGCCTTATGTACATTCTCACCCACCAAGCCCAAGTTGAAGCTGACAGAATCTTCTAATGTATGAACTTATTTACTTAGTTATGGTCTGGGACTGGATGAAATAATCGCTGAGATGCCTTTGCTTCCAAAATTTAAATAATTGATACTTATCTCTATGATATAGTGTTCTTTTTTTCCCAGCTTTATTGAAATATAATTGACATATTGCATAAGTTTAAGTTCTACAATGTGATGATTTGCTATATCTATATATTGAGAAATAATTACCACAATAAGGTTCATTAACACTTCCATCATCTCACATAATTATCTTTTGTGATTACATCATTTACGATCTACTCTGCTCTCTGTGGTGAGAGCATTTAAGATCTACTCTGCTGGCAACTTTCAAGTATCTAATAAAGCACTGTTAACTACAGTCACCATGCTATATACTAGATCCTCATAACGTATTCATCTTGTAATTGAAGTTTGTACCCTTTGACCACCTTCACCCATTTCACCCACACCCTCCGCCCCTGGCAATCACCAATCTATGCTCTGTATCTATGAGTTCAGGGTTTTTTTAGATTCCAATAGAAGTAAGAGCATACAGTATTTGCCTTTCCCTGACTTATTTCACTAAGCATAACGTCCTCCAGGTTCATCCATGTTATCACAAATGGCAGGATTTCTTTCCTTTTTTATGGCTGAATAATATTCATCGTATGTGTATGTGTGTGTGTATCTACACACACACACACACAAACTTTTTTTAATCCACTCACCCATCAACAGACATTCTTTTTAAGAAGAATCTGTAAAAAATAGAACTACCACATACAATTCTCACACATACCTTATGAAAATGAATACAAGGTGTTTCAGGCTACCCTTTTCTTACCCTCAAGATACTCAAAGCACTAATCATAAAAGGAAACAGAATTAACTGAAACAATCACATTTGTTGTATAAATACATATCCCAAGCAAAATATGCTCTTGGAGTGTTTTGTGTTCATGATGAATAAGCCTTACCTTCACAAACCATGTTTAAAAAGAAAATCCCAGGAAATAATTAGTAAGTAGAGTTAGTGAAATAAAAGCCAGCAATGAAATGGCCTTTGACCTCAGCTGCTTCATTAGATTTCCATTAGCTTTTTTAGAGCTTCTATTTATCAATAAAAGGAGGTCTAGGACTCCTCTGGAACCTAAAACTAACAGTGTGGGACTGACTCCTAAGAAAGCAAGTTCTAAGTGTACTTTCAAAATGCAATCATTTCAGCCAAAAAATCCAAAGAATCATACTTAAGTGCTTAGTAAAAAAATTAATATTGCAACACTCAATGCCACACTAAATAAGGGTGTTAAAGCCAAAATATCAATATTATCAGTTACTTCTCAGCAACGATTAAAATAAAATTCAATTATTTCTCAGGAGAAAAATTTAGAAATAGAGCTTCATGGACAAAGTTCACTCAAAACGAATAAACTGGAAAAACAATTGGCTCACTGAGAATTCAGATAATTTCCAATTAGAACTAAGAAATAATGTAGGTCTAAAAAAATCAATGCAAAGCTGTATTTAAGAGCTCCCATTTTTATTGAAAATTAAAAGAGATTCACATGGCATCAATATTAAAATACAAAAGGCACACTATTTTCTGAGGGTGCGGAGGGGTTAAGGTTAATAGAAAGATGCTTCAAATCAGGTGCAGAGAGTGATTAAGTATTTCCTTCTGTAGACATGCTAAAGGAAAATGACATAATTGATCAGAAGCTGCCTTAGAATCAGGGTGGCTGGCCTAGGCCTGGCCCTGGCTCTGCCATGCAAAGGACAGTAGTACCTTGGGTAACAGGACTGCTCGGTGTGTGAGCACAGGAGCCAAGCAGTAACTGTGGATGGAACAGAGAACTCTTCATGCCTTGGTGAACTGGATTAGAGTATCTCTAAATTCTAAATCTAAACTTCAGGGTGAATGAGGGGATATCATTAGTAAAACTGACTCTACAAGGCTTTACTTTGGCTCATATAATATGAATAGAACCAGCTTGATAAATAAGAGCTGAATATATTTATTATAGCAGGACTTCATGGCTGTTTTAAAGATGCTGTACATTTATACAGTTTTTGTTAACATAATGAACACACCAAAGGAAATACCAAAATGTTATCTGGGCTCACTAATGAAAAGAATTCTTAAGTTGGAGATATTATCTCTAATATGAAATCAGATTATTTGGACTATAAAGAGTGTCCATATTTTGCCCCATTTTCCCCCTCACTACCCAGAGTGAATGCCAGCAATAAAATCATACAGAAAGACATTCTCACAGATGCCTTTAATTTATAGTCATCATATGTCTATTTCAACACTGAGAGCTAAACATACATAATCATGACATAAATTTTCCTCATGTAAAGCATTGTCCTTCAGGTTTGTAACTTTGGTTGCAAGGAAATTTAATTCATTATCATTAGAGATCATTAAGGAATAAAGCAAATGCTACTATTATAATCAAAATCAAGCTAAGCATCTGCTCTGTGATCAAGAGTGAGGGATACAGTCTTGAGATCTGGTCGGTCTCCACTTTCAAACATGTTCTGATACCTCTTGAAAGAGAATTTTTAAGAGTAGTTAAGGTAGCACATAATCAAATGGCAAAATGGGTGACATGGTGGATTAACAGAATGGAACGCAATGCTTGGATGTAAGCTAAAGTTTCAACCGGGTCTTCAGGAAAAACAGTTTAGGTGAAGAGAAATCTGTGTTCTCCAAGTGGGGAACCATTTGTTGTTGAAGTTTCTGTCTCAAGTTCACAGCAATGCCTAGCACAGAACACTCTAAAATTTTCTAAAGTATGAATGTACGAATGAATAAGCGGGGAAGACCTCACGCTAGTGGAACAGTTGTGAATTAGCATAGTTTCCTGAGAGGTCACTGAAGAGTCCCCCCTTACTTACTTAGTAAGTAAGTAAGTACTTACTTACTTACTTACTTAGAAGACTTATTTTCAAGAATTGCAAAATAGAGCTGGGCAAGAACATGAAGCAATACTTTGGACATGCTCTAATAAACCAGTAGTCTCCATAGGTTCCTGAGCAAACGGTGATGCCTAGAAATGTATTTAACATTTCCACAATGGATATAGAGCTACCAGGTAGGATGATTTGGAAAGAGAAGACGAGAAATACAGGTAACTGTGGAATGGCACACAAAAGCATTGTGTACTATCTTACCTGACCACTAGATTTAAATGGACCCACAGTGGATGGAGTGAGAAAAGGAGTTAAAAGATACTAAAATTAGCCACTTACTGCTGTCCATGCGTTTCTTTTGCACCGGGCACATAGCCATCCATCACAGATCTCATGAGAAGGGATACCGTAACAACCTATAAAATAATAGTATGGATCCATTAATTAAAGTCTTTTGCATTTTGACAATATTACACATTTTAGCACTGAATAAATAAAATCGGAACAGCAGCCTACCATACCATTTTTGATTCTCACTGCTTAGAACAAAACATTAGCAAGGCTGGCTCAAAGATACTTTTGGTTCCCATGCCTCATAGCTAATAGGATTATCACTGCCAGAGAAAATGAGAGTGTGCATCTTAATAGTTACCAGTGCTCACAACAGTTATTATAGAGAATACTGATGATAATACTTAATGTGTGATTAGAAAATTTCCAAATTGTCAAGTCTAGTCCTTTATTCATGCAAAACATATTTCAAAATAAGTTGCAATTTATGAAGCAAAGTTTGGGGAAGTTTTAAAATGACACAATAAATAAACTGTGACACAATATTTATGTACATAAAATCAGTGCATAAAATTAATGTAATGTAAAACTACATTTCAAAAATTATGTTTAATTAGCTTTAACTTCAGTGATAGGAACAAAGGATGCACAATTCATAGTTAGTGATGAAGAGCTGTCTTCAATTCTATTTGTCCATTCAGTACATGCCTGACTCAAAATAACGATGTAAAGAGATAGCTGATGACATAAATATATGTAGCAATTATACGGTATCAACAAACATGTGTTACTCTAGTTTCCTGAAGAAGGAGTTTTAAAAGATTTAAATGAGTAAAATTTAAAGGAGTAATTTTTAATATCAAATTTCTATAACAGTTGACATGGGAAGAGAAAATAACAGAAATGTAATTACCCAAAGAAAAGCCTATCATAGTTACCCAAGACCATAAAGTGTTTAGTTCAAGCACATGTTTATAAAATATTATGGCTAAATTGCATAGCTAGTGCATTCTGGAGTCAAGATTAAATCCAAACTTGTTTGTGAAATGGTGCACTGTCTCTCATATAAATATAATCACGTAGAGTGAATGTGTATATATATGTGTATGTGTGTTACAAATTGATAGAAACAAATAAGAAGTTTTATATAATTACATTTCAAGCACATCATGTTCAAATTCCTTGGGGAAGATGAAAGTATCTAATAAATAAATGCTAGATAGCCAGGCAATTTCCACCTTAACACAAGACTGGTATTACGCTGGGGTAAATATAGAAGGTAATACCTTTATTATAAATCATTCATATTACACTGACAGACTCACACCATACATAAGAATGTTAACAGAACATTTGACTTGGTAAGAGCTGGAATATTAAAATGCTTTAAAATAGAACTGCAATGTTTAATAGATCCATTTTATACATTTTAGAGGATTTAAATGGCAGACCAATCTAAAAAAATGTATTTGCCACTTAACGCAATTATGTAAAAACACCAAATTGAGACAGGTATGGAGGCTAACTTTCTCAGTCTTGGGGGAAAACAACTCTAAGCACTTTTTCCCCCTGGAAGGCAATGAAGATCTCCCTACCTTTACAAAGAATAAAATTTTAACTCGATAATTAAATTTAACAATAATTCCCCAAATCACCAAAAGAATACTCATTTCTCTTTCAAAAGTAACAAAGGAAAACGGTCATGAATCAACATTAGAGATTGAAACTCAGTTTCTACAAACTTTAAGTAAAATTCAAGCATGTGAAAGGAATCCCACAATGACCCCACATTTGAACCCCAAACAAACAAACAGAACCAGATCTGTTTTCCACTGATACCACATAAAATTGGAGGAAAAAGAATGATTACACCTATTCATACTTTCTTAAAAGAAATGTGATAAAGAATGATCTAACCATTAATAATGCCAACAGTACAGTGTGATAGATTTGGCAAGTTACAAAAGGGGTGAGAAATAGAGAATATGTGAAGCACTGAAAAGCCAGCGATTAATGAGTGATAGACTCATTTACTTGCATGAACCCGTACGCGGCACTTTGCACAGGAAATCAGAAGACTTGTTCCATCCTCTTCCAGGAAGGCGTTAGGTGGAGAATATTCTATATTTTCCTCTCTATAAATAAAACACATCTCTGGAATGAGGGGCTTAGTCTTTCCTCCTGAAGTAACCACTTCATCTAATCTTGTCTCCCATCTAGAATCATTTTCTTCATTGCTGCTATCTGGCTGAAAAACAGAATATTTCCACGTGAGCGAAAAACATGGAAAAGAGCTCAGATCACTTGCTCTGGTCACTCAAATCCCCTAATAGCTGTTCATCCACTAACTTCCAGCTGCTGTACTTGCCCTTGTTCTCCCAGACCCACTATTAGCTCTTTATCAGTGCCGCTCCTCAGGCTCCCATCCAGAAGCTAAGCTGTAGGAATGAGAGGGTATTCTGTACATCTGCTGGTACAGAAATCGATGAGCTACTAAAACTACGTTCTTAAATACATAGTTCATGAAAAGCATCGATTCTTCTGACGAACTTTTTTTGCTTCTTTATTTGCACTAGGTTGACAGATCTGATTTCATTTACTGAAGAATCTTACCTGGTTACACCTGAAGGAGTATCTTCAAAGACCTTAGTTTTAATTTGTACAACAGTATTTAGAGAGTTTTTGAAGGTTTTTTGACTCACCACAAATTTTTAAAACAGCAAGACAGAAAGATCTAGCAAATGTCACTAAATAACAAAGGATAATGTTCAAATAGAAATCGTCACCTCTCACCAAAATATACAACAAATATTCAGTGTTTATTTGAAACTAATTAATGAACTATCTTATTATCCCCAGAGACCTTATATTAATAAATTTCCCCAAATCTTATCATTTTAGTTGGAATTTTTTTAATTATCGGGGAAATATACAGGCAGATTATGATACAGAAGCAAGAATCAATATAAAGGTAAGTCTTTCCAAGAAAACACAGAAAATTAGTGACTAAATGGGAAATAAAAATAAGGTTAATCACTCACCGGTGTCACATTCAAAGACAAGTGAATGAAATACTTCCTCTATTTACAAAAGGTCTGAGAATGTGGCACGTCACACATATTCATGCTCTGAAACGTCTAACCAGAATTACTTAATGTGGAACCCTAGGAATGATGTGATCTTGAGTAAAATATTTCTGACTCTATCAGTGAAAATACAACCCAGAACACAATGTTCACATCAACAGACTTTAAAATATACTGTATCTAAAAATGGATCTGGTAGTTTTACTCTTACCAGATTCTGAAAGATCATTTTGTCTGTGTTAGTGCTGGAGAATGTGGCCCTCTGTGACCTAAGATGCTATCAGCATAACATATACAAAATGACATCTGAAAATAATATCATGAATGGCTGCCTGATGAGGGTGAACTGGACAATTCAGTTTGCATTGAGTCCTGCTGTGTCTTTTGCATGTTCCACATGGGAAGATGAAGAGAGATATTTTAAATGTGGGCCCAGAGCCGACATTTATATGATTGAGAGTAATATTTTCAAACATAGAGCAGAGACTAGATCTAAGTTCTCTTTGTAAGCTTCTACTATTCTTAAGCTTTAAGCTCTGTGTTTCTTGGTGAAAGGGGTAGAAAGAAAGGTTGGAATTGCCCCTTGACTGAAATAAACCAAGACATTCAAAAATGATAAAGCACTGTCACAGAAAATTCTCTCAAGAGGCACTCAGGAATTCCATTTGCTGCTCTATGATAGCCATTAGCTACAGAAGTACTAATGTCTTCCTCTTCATGTGCCTACTAACCCTACAGAGATTCACCTGTGTTTTCACAGTCACACAAAGTGCTGCAGTGAAAGGAGACGTGGGCAGGGGCCCCTCCCGCTGGCTACCTTGTAGTAGGGCATGAGCAGAGCACAGATGGCACAGTGCGGCTCCATTCTGCCCATGGCTGCATTATACTCTTGCTCGGCCACAAAGTTTGGGGACTTCGTCTGCCAAAGGTGGACCAGAGGCTTTGCCCAAGACTCGGTTTCTTCCACTTCCTCCTCAATCGATGGAACTTCGGGCAACTCTTAAGAGAAAGGGTGTGAAAACACAGTGAGCAGGGGACTCAGGTTAAAACAATAACCCTGATTATAAAAGAAGCACACACTCCAAAGTACCTGTGATATTAATGTCAGACAGGAAACCTATTTTATCTTTCAAATATATTCCGAGAGGTGAAACAAAATCTTCATTGTCCGCATCATCAAGGACTACCTGAGATCCGACGGCCACACAGACCACCCTCCTTTCCACTCCTTCCCCATCCCTGCCAGGAATCACTAAACCGCTCTCTCCTCTCAACTCCACTCCTTCCGTGTTTCTTGTGCTACCATGATACCTTCCAGGGTAAAAGGGTTTATATGTGTGAGATTATCTTCCAGCTAGCAGAGGAATTTGCTAGCCACTACCTGTCTTACCAATATTTTTAGTTTCCTGACCTAACATTGTGCATGATTTAATAAAAATTTATTAACTGTATTTCATTTAATTAACTTTTAGGTTCAAAATTCATGTAAATAACATTTACAGAGCACCTATCATATGCCAAGCGATATACTGCCATTACATGGATATAAAAGACAATCCCTATGCCAAATCTCATTTGTTCAATATGATTTCCCAGAGGGTCAAATCTCTTAAGCATGTATATCTGTTAACATGAAAGAGGCACAGATCTATTCCACAAAAATGACATTTTACAAAAATTTATAGAAGGCCAGAAAAATACAGAAAGACATAACAGGTTAAGAGGAAAAATTCCTCATGCCCATAGCAGAGGACAGTATATCAAAGCGGGTGGCAGCAACCACAGCTACCCCTAGTACTTGATGTCTATACAGCTGTGATACACTCTCAACTTCCTCACCAGCTGTCTCAGTGCTACAAATAAATACTGTAGAGCAATGTCCTCAAGTCCCAGAAGGGGTAACCTATGAACTAATGTGCTCCTGTCCTTGCCTTGTTGACTTACTTGTTTTAGAAAAAGTCAAAGTGGATATGCTCAAGTAGAAAATAGGAAGAGCTAAATTAGGCTGAAAATAATTCAAAAGACATCAAATGCCAACTGAAGCAAAAGGGAACATTCCTGTTTCCATGGTGGTGCTGGTGGTGGTGATGGTATCGGCAGCAGCAGCAGCATTATTATTTACAATGGAAAATGCTTAGCATTCAGTCAGAGGCAGTGTTTGAAACAAAGTTAAGAACCTTTGCCTACATTTGAAATAAAGTAATCTGACACTAAACGTTAACAGTTTCCACCTCAGTTTCCTTATAATACACAATAGAAGACTTACTGTGAAGACCAAAATTTGACAAATGAAAGAAGGGAGTGAAAGTTAACCAGGAACTTGAAATACCATAAAGTCTAATAGCTAATCTCTCCAACATATATACTAAAAATGAGATCTAAACTGAAAAAAAAAAAATCCTTGGGTTTGAATAACTTGGACTCTACTTATTGGCTCACAATGAATTTATCATATCATTTGCTTTATTAAAAAAGATGGAAACTCACAAGATGGATGATGCTTTTATTCCTTTAGATGGTCATAAAATAAGGTGATGAGTTCTCAAAATATTTTTAGGGATTAAGGAAATATTTAATTCCTAAAAGCCTAGTGAAAATGAACAAGAAGTACAGGAAAAGAACAATTCTTAACAATGGAGCCAGAGAGCGGGGAAGTGTGTGTGTGCCAAGCCCTCTGGCAGACTTGGTCTAAGACTTGATCTAGGACACACCTTGAACTTGTCCTCAGACTCAACACTGACCTGGTAGAGGACCCTGCTCTACAGCTGTCCTGCCCCAAAATGAGGTCACATTCTGGCCCAAAGAGCATTTGTCTTCTGTTTGGATGCTCTTCAGGCCAGAGTATGCAAAGCAGCGTGGCAGGAATACTGTGCAGTCCCAAGTACAGGAACTGTCTGTCCAGACACCTAGCTTTCCCCCCCACCCAGCCACCCACCCACCGCACCACACGGCTTAACAGGATCTTAGTTCCCTGACCAGAGATTGAACCTGGGGCCACGGCAGTGAAAGTGCTGAGTCCTAACCACTGGACTGCGAGGGAACTCCCCCAAAGACCTAGCTTTAAATTCTAACTCTTTCTGTAAGATAGATTCTCATATGGTGATCATTCCTTTCTCACCTATTTCAGGGTTTTTTTCTCTTTTTAATATTAAAATGAAATAGTAAATGTAAAATTTCTTTTTAAATTCCAAGGCGCTAAAATTCTTTGTAAATTCTAAAGTGATTATACAATGCATATGCTATCCTTAACTTAGTTTTAAAAGTCAGAAACATCGGCACATTCTTGACGGTAAGTATTTTGTCTTCCTGAAATTATCTCATCAAATTATTCACCCCTCCTCTATCTCCAAGAGCTCTTGCTTACCTTTGAACCATGGCATTGTTCAAGAATAGACTAGCCTTAGCTATTGCCTTTCCCAGACTCATGATATTCGTGTAAACTACAAGTCTTAAATATTCTGGGGGGCAAAGTACTTTCAGAATATCTAAATACTCTCATCATCACACAATTCCAAATGAAAATCCTCCCTTTCAGCCTCTAAACACCTTTCCTGTTTCTGGTCTCTTTTTAGTGTACCGTCTTCATCCAGTTACTTTTGAAAAAAATACTTTCTATCTTCCAATATACGGAAGAGGGAAAATGTTTTTTGCAGCGTAGCTTCTAAGTGTTTTGATCATTTGGCATCACTATGCCTCGGAATTTCCTCTCCTCCTCCTCTTCTTCGACTATAGTTAACTAATGAACCTCTAAAGTTGCACTATAATCTCGTTGGTAATATATTTACTTCCCTATATGATGCATTTTGTAAGATGCCAGGCAATGAAAATAGACCACACTGTTTTAAAGATTTTTTAAATATCAAATTAGTTTTCACAACACCTTCACAAAAGAAGAGGGCAGGGGCAGATATTAAACATACAAGGAGAGCGAGGAGATATGGGGATATATGTGTATGTATAGCTGATTCACTTTGTTATACGGCAGAAACTAACACACCATTGTAAAGCAATTATCCTCCAATAAAGATGTTAAAAAAATAGTTAACTATTATATAATATTAAGATATCAATAGTATCAGTAATAATTAACTAGTAATTGTTAACTAGTAATAGTTAACTAGGAATTGATTGATTGATTAATGCTGTATTGTATACTTAAAAGCTGCTAACAGAGTGGATCTTTTTCTCACCACAAGAAAAAAATTTGTAACTGTGTGGTGATGTATGTTAACTAGACTAATTTTGGTGATCATTCCACAATATATACAAATATCAAATCAAAAAAAAAATACCATACAAGGACATGGACATTGTAAGCATTCAATGAATACCAATGTTTTTATTACTATAATTATCTCTTTTTTTAATATACCAGCACAGCAACATTCAGAAGCTCTGAGTCTCACCCCGAATGCCACAGTTTGCTATAGAATCGAGAGATAATGAGGCAAAGGAAAGGTCCCTTGGTGCAAATGCATCAAAGTTTGGGAAATCTGTGAAAATGTTACCAGCACAGAACTCCCTTCTTTCCCAACTATAATTCTCAACAAGAACAAAAGAAGAGCTAATAGTGTTAACAGCAGTTCTCAAAGTAAGGTCTGTGTACTCTAAGAGACACACAACACAATTTCATGAGGTCTGTATGGTCAATTTCATAATAATATGAAGGAGCAACTGTAATAAAAATTAATTGAAAAAATAATAACACAAAGACGTTATTTGCCTGTGTCACACTGCTGACATCTGTAATGGTGACACAAAAGCAATGAAGGGTAAAACTGTTGGTGCCTTAGCTTGAATCAAGGCAGTGGCACCAATGCAGTCGTTATATTCTTGACTATCTCAAATTTGCAGGTGGCGGTGGGGGGGTGTTTTCTTAACAATGCCTTGATGAAGCAAAAAAAAAAAAAGAAAAAAGTATCAATTTTATTAAATGCGCAATAAAATGGGATGTATGCATAAAGCACTTCTGCCGCACACTGAAGTTCAATGGTTGTCTTGGGAAAAGCACATGTGCAATTAATTGAATCGCATGTTGAATGAGCTGCCTTTTTCATGGAACACCATTTTTACTTGAACGAATGATTAACAGACAAGCTATGGTTATTCAGACTTGGGTATCTGGCAGCAATGAAAGTGAACAAAGAAAGCTTTCATTTTAACAGAAAAACTACTGACAGTATTTGTTGACAATGATGAAATTCAAGCTTCTGAGTCAAAATTAGAACTTTGGAAAATTTGTATCCACTTTTGTGAGCTTGACAGCTTCCCAATAATTAAAGCTATTTCTAATGGAATTGATGGTGATAATAACAAATGTAATTTTTTTATATTATATAAAAAGACCTGTATGACACAGATCTTTGTTTACCAATGCATGACGTTACAAAATCACGCATGCATAGAAGAGCCACTCAAAGTGCAAGACAGACCAATGAATTTTTAGCTTAATAGAGAACAAAAAGTTCACTGATGGGATTTCAGATTTCATGTTGCAACTAATCTTTAAAAAACCACCATTTGTCAAGTTTTATGGCTATTAAAATACTGCACCCCTTCTAACCATGTATCCCTAGTAAGCTGGACTTTCTTCAAATATACCTCAACCAGAACAACATGGTCCAAAAGACTGAATGCAGAGCAGACATGAAAATCCAATTTTTATTAAACCCAATATTAAAGAGCTCTGCAAAAAATGTAAAACAATGCTGTTCTTCCCTTTATTTTTATGGTTTGGGAAAACTTATTTTCTTATGAAAATAAATGTAACTGTTTATGCATTTATTATTGTTACTTTAGATTTTTCCATTTTAACTTTCAGCAAATAAGTACAAAACAGAAACAGACTCACAGACTCAGAGAACAAACTTACGGTTACAGGGTCGGCGGGGGGAGTAGGGTGGGGAGGGATAGACTGGGAGTTTGGGATTGACATGTACACACTGCTATATTCAAAATAAAATGCCTTTCCATAAAAAAATTTTTTTAATTAAAAAAAT